TCTATTTGAAGGTCATACATTTGAAGCATTCTTGCATCAACCTCCAGTCCATGGAGAAGAAAAGCTCCAGAAGGTAAGTTATCCCAAAATCAGGTTCCCTTCAGAGGTGCCTTCCTGGTTCTGCTGGTTCAGGCTGTCAATTTGGACCTCCCAACAGGATGAATGCAGCCTTGAAAGCAGTGCTGGGATATCAGTGGCAGTGACTGCAGGCATAGAATCCAGAAGGAGCAAGGGCTGAAGTGCCTGAAGTTAACAAGAAGAGCAGAACACCGTGAGAAAGGTTTCAGTCCAGTGACTCTGATGAAATCCTTGTTTGTGCTCTATGAAATGCAGGAGGGGGCATCTGTGCTTGCAGTTTGTGGAGCTGGTCATCATGTTTAATTAGAACGGTTAACATGAACTTTTTAAATGCCAGTGCTGTTTGTACAGTTTAATAAAATGTTGTGTCTAATTGGGAAATGGGCATTGAAGTGATTAAATAGGGACAAATAAAAGAGGTGCTTAGAAAAGCCATTAAAATGGCTTTATGCTGTCTGGGGAACATCCCCCAGGGGAATTTCGACCCCCAAATACATAGCAGCAGCAAGCACTTGAACAACTGTAACTACTCCACAAGGCAGTATCTAAACCAAGCATTTGGTGCTGTGCAAAGGTATCCACGAAGAGAGTGAAATGTTCCTTTTTACTACTAGAAGGTGACACAGCTCTGAATGAGGTCTGGTATCTCAGAGGGTGTCGTGGTTTTAAACCACTAACTAAGAAAATTACTTACTTCTTGCTGTGAGATATGGATTAGAATAAGAGCAAAACAGGCATACAACTTAAAAGGGGAAAAAAAAGAAAGTTTATTGACAAACCACAATAATAAGAACACCAGAATAAACTTCCAGAAAAACCTTTCCATCCCCTATCCACCCACTATTCTCTTGTTCACATGACAACAGAGACAAAAACTCTGGAACTCTGATGGTTAAAACAGTCCTAATTCTTGCTAGTCTTTTTACCAATCTTTATAGAGAAACAGAAGTTTCTTCCTGTTAATTTATGGAGTTTCTCACAAGAAAACTATTTTTGTTATAGTTTTCTATTGCCCTAATGTTAGCTGCTCAGAGATGCTATTATTAGAGTTCACTCCTCCCATTCTCACATCACTCTGAGGTGTGTATGGGCCATGCGTCTAGAGATAGCATTTTTAAGGATAAGTTATTCAAAGGCAAAAAAAGTCTTCTTCATCTGTTTCTGTGAGCTTCACCAGAAAACAGTTTTCTCATGGTCTCTCAAGGCTTTTAATTTCCCAGTACTTCACTATACTATAATTACTCTTTACTCAAATTTACACTTTGAACACTATTCCTCTCTAGATCCTATATCATGAATTAAAGGAGTTCTTTTCAGGACTTCATTGTCCATCTCCATAGTTTTAACAGGGAGATATTTCAGCTTAATTAAAGCATCTTCTTAATTCTCTACCTTTCTTGAAGCTTCTTTTCTTTCCTGTCACTGGTAGTTTATAAAGTCTCTTTTCATGTTGATCTCTCTCTTTTTCTCTCTCTGGATAAAAAGATTGATCTGCAAG